AGTTATGGCACCAAGAACTATCAGAAGATTTCGTCTGCTGCTCATTACTTCACATCCAGTCGTGCACTCTTCTCCTTTTTCCGAAATTATATTTTAGAAGACGGAAAATGAGATTTATAAAGAATGCATTCCAGATTTACAGAAGAGGCATTTGCTGCATTGATATCAATTGTCTTTATAATCCAGTCTTTTGAAAAACTTATTGAAATTAGTCACGATGCGCCAATCATTGTTGATCCCAAGGTTCATTTTAATAATTTTACCTTATACGTATTTAATAATTTTTGGAGAAAATCCTTTCTTCTTTGAGTTTATATTTGTCCCTAAATTATTTCTAGAATCAAACTTCTTTCGTTTCATTTTTTGGAATTTATTATGTTTAATAGAGAGTATTTGATTCACCGTGCGTTTGTTATCTCAATGAGCCAATGGTACTTTCAAATAACATTACTGTGCGACCAAGGATCATGGATATTGATGCTGAGGGTTTGCATTGCTTTTGTAAAAATAAAGGGTTATTGAAATTAACTTTTTCTTTCCATTCCCTTTTCCCAATATTTTCGGATTTTAGGCAAATCTTTTGGAAGCAGCCACGAAATGGATGCTTTAATGTGTTTGTTTTTGTGCCATTGTGACACTTAATCTAGCGATTAGAACTGACCACAGGTGATATCCTGATAATGATAATGATATTAACCAAATAAAGAAATAATGAATTAACTAAGCCACTGTAGAATGTCGTCAACGTGGAGGCGAAGCGTTTGGGTTACAGTGTCACTTCAAACCAGACGTCTATATGTTATCCATTTTGCTAACCTTTGGTACTTTCGCATTGTCCTATGGCTTAAACATTTTCAGAAGGACACATTTTTTAAATTCCACGGTACATTTTAAACAAAATTTTGAAAATTAAGGAAAAAATTCTGCGGTATTTTTTGTCGCTTCTGCTTATCTTTATTATTTCATCGTTAGATTTTTTTGGATAATCTAGGGGTCAGATTCTAGTTCTATGACCTGCCATTTTCTTAAAGCAATATTTTTCTTTTTGTTCTTTTCCTTTTGAAAAGTACTTTTAGTTTGGCTGAATTTTGGTTTTAATTTATCTGAATATTCAGGGCGTTTGAATGTTTAATTAAAAAAATCAATGAGAAACTTATTTCAGGCTCGTAATAGTATATCGGATTTCGGTGTTCTCATCGCTATTGTCGTGATGACAGCTATTTCGAAATTCATAGGTCTTGACCTACCTGTGCTCAATATTCCTGCTAATTTCCGGGTTCGTTCATTTTGTGCGTTTGGAAACTCACTTTATTTATCGTACAAAAGCTGAGAAATTAAAATTGAGAGTCTAAACTATAAAAAATGCTGTCGACCATAAGTAATAATGTTCCAGCCAACGATTGACCGTCCATGGCTTATCAATCCATTATCAGTAGATTGGTATGTTGCTTTGATAGCTGTATTACCAGCTATATTTTACACAATCCTGATTGTCATGGATCAACAGATCACTGCTGTTATTATCAACCGAAAAGATAACAAACTGAGAGTATGAATTGAAATCATTGAAATCGTTTTCGATTTCCTAATCAGAATATGCTGCATGTTGAAGTGGATAATCAAGTTTCTTGACTAACGAATGAACAAGTAAAGCATATAGATGGGGAAGTCGAATTTTAAATGAAAGTCAGGAAAATTTTGTTAGAAAAATTCTTATCCTTTATGGTTGGCAATGAGAATCGAAGGAGTGTCGTAATTAGAGACACCCAGAGCTTATGACAAGTGTCAACGAGCACGAAAACAGGGAAATATTTCTTTTTATAAAAATAGCAACGCAATACAATAGGATAAAAGAGGAAAAACTATAAGTTTACTGAACTCTTAAGGTTTTGTCAATCCATTATTGACTTATTGACTTGTTTTATGAAAGATTATAAGATGTTAAAACTTACCGCGACTATTAAGTTTTGACATTGTAATCATTATTGCTATAAGGATTTCAGAAAGATTTTGGATATCATTTGGATTTGTTAGTGATTGCATTGCTGATAGTCATTTGTGGCTCTCTTGGGTTACCATTTTATGTGGCCGGAACAGTGCTATCAGTAATGCACGTGGATTCGCTTCGTTTACAATCTGATACATCAGCTCCTGGTGAAAAGGCACAATTTCTTGGTGTTAAGTGAGTCATTATTCAGAGTTCCAAATTATTATTTAGAAGATTCTAATTTAAAAAATAGAAAATTCTAAATTCAATCCAAATTTTCAAACAAAAAACTTTTGCACTTTTGCAGAGAACAACGTCTAACAGCAATAATAGCTCATCTGCTTATTGGTTTTTCAGTTTTCATAACACCTGTTATCAAGGTATGATTTTCTGTGGAGCGTCTCTATCAGGAATGACTTTTTTCTTTGAACTCGTCCGGTCTCAGAAATGAACTAAAAAGTCTTACTCGAATGATTAACTTGCAGTTAGTACCTCTTCCGGTACTTATTGGGATATTTTTATATATGGGTGTTGTTTCGATGCTTGGTTTGCAGTTTATCCAAAGAATTGCCATGCTTTTTATGCCGATCAAATATCAGGTTTGTTGAAAAAAAAAGTCCTTTTTAATCAAAAATAAATATAAAAAGCGAATCAATGCACGTTGAAGTTTGAAAATTTTTACTTCATAATTCTTTACAGCCTGACTACGTGTGGTTGAGATTGGTTCGTATGAAACGTGTCCATTTGTTCACTTTTTTTCAAATTCTCAGTATTGTTGGTTTGTTTGCTGTGAAGTATACAAAAACATTCTCAATGCTGTTTCCCTTGATGGTATGGCCGCCTTCATCTGCACAATTTATTTTGTCAAAGTTTTTCTAATTATAGGGAAGTGAAGTTTCAGCTGGTTCTAACGGCTTTTGTTGTTTCGATTACTGGCCAAAATCAAGGTCAATCAATCTGGATTAAAAGTATGTTAATTGCTTCTTATAAAGCAATTTATTTTTGATTAATATTGTTTCAGCTGGTTCTAATGGTGATTATTAGGATGTTTTTCATGGAAAAAGTTTTCACGAAGCAGGAATTACTAGCATTGGACGATCCTGTGCCTTCATTCCATTCGGTTATCAGCCCGAAGGGACAATCTGTAAAAGGTATTTTTAGTCGTGAGCCGAAATACTAGAATTAGCAAACGTTCAAGATTTAGAATTTGTTTCCAAACGGCACTGATTAACGGTTGTCATATTATCAACATTCCAACTGATTTCCCATTTATAAAATATGGTTAATTTCTCAATAACCACAAATTTTTTTTGTTACAGCTAGAAAAGGAACCGTTGGTGACGAAGAAACGGAAAATCCGAGAGAAGCAGAGGAAGGAAAGAAAAAGGCTAGCGGAAATCGATGAATTTTGGTTCATTTTTATTCTGTGTGACGTACAAAAAATCTGCGTGAAGAAATAAATATCACCATTAAAATGTTCTTAAATAATAGAGTTATTTTCAACTTTTCTGGTTGTTTCTGTATGATAGGGTGAGTCTCCTCTGACACGTTGAATTAACAAATCTTTAGTATTATCCACTTCTCATCATTTATCGAATTAGGTTGCTTAAAAACACTGATCAATTTACTTTTGATTGTAATGGAGAATGCACACAGCTTCCGAAAAAGCTGACAGTGTTGTCAAACACAAATTTAAAATAAGATTCACTTATAGATGAAACGATTGTCTTGGTAGCCGTGGAAAGGGCGAGGGAGTTTGGACAGTAAGTTTAAAGCATAAGAAGAATGATTCAGATATTTGAGGCTTAGAAATGTTTATTAATCATTGGTGTCTTTTGTTTAAATATATCATTAACGGTTTATCGAACTTCCTTGTTTATCTCTTTTTGTATATTTTCCCGTATCATACATTCATTAAGCAGTACCAGATAGCGTTTTGTTTTTGCTTTTGCTTTTTTTTCGCTATGCTTATGCGTGAATTTGATGAGAAATACTGGACTGAAGTGAATGCAAACAATTTATCATTTTGACTCTGCTTTGCTACGAGCGAGAAAGAAGCTTGCATGCCAAGAATTATCTATCACTTGCAGAATTTTTCTCTTCCACTTAATTAGATAGATTTAGCAAGAAGTTCTTGCTTCCATATGGTCCTAATCGTCGAGTTGATGACTATTCAATTAGCATATTAATTGCCAATTAGGGATTGTTGCTCATTCATTCACTAGTCTTTATTTGTCGATAGATAGCTGTGTTGGTTTCGATAAAGCCATATGTTTGTATAGGAAAATAAATTTCATTACCTTCAAATTACGATGCACTTATAACATATCAGTCCCGTGTAAGATGATATGTTATAAACTTTATTTCACAATTTCATTGCATTTCATTCAATTCTCGAACATCTCCATGAGCTATTATTGTGTTATCTAACAATTTGATGATTTTTCCAATGTTTTTGAAAAAATTTCAGCAGCATTTTGAAATTATAAGGATCAGAAATTAATTCGTTTTTGTTTTAATACAGTAAGCTCTATGTCATTCGTCTGTGATCGCATTGTGTACACTGACATTGTATAAATGCCATCTGTGGAAAGTTGCCTTTGTAAAGCCTTTGCAAATTCTATAAAATAGCTTGTGTCATTTATCAAATAATTACGAAATAAATTTAGCTAGACTTCTGGAATTTGGCCAAACTTTTTTAAAAAATGATACATACTCTTAGCTAGATGATATCTACTGGCTAAGAATAGCTCGGATCAAAGAAGTTAGAAATAGACAATTATACTTGTTTATGAGAATAAAATAGAGATCATTATCAGCGATCTACAAAGTTTAATAAATCCGAAAACGTGGACATAAATGCTATAATTTGCAACATCCAGCACAGCCACTCGAGGTTTTTCTATTTAAGGCTTTAAATTTCTAAGTTCTGAAATTTGGGCGACAAAATGGCAGTTCCATATTTCGCTGAAGGTAGCTAACCCTTTAAGATTGCTCTATATATTTCAGCAAAATGTTGCTGAAATTAAGCTTGTCGTTTTCATTGGTTTTTCAAGCATGCATCGGCATTAGTTTCCAGTGTCGTGATCAAAAAAACGAGGACGTGGATTGGTATGTTTCCGAAATAAGTTTTATATTGTAGTTCCCCTAACACTTGATCCAACTTTATATCATTCTCTGTGTGGGAATTTATTTTTCCAATTAGGTTCATATTTTACAAAATTGGTCGCATAAAGAAATCACCCGCAAAATTTGTTCGTAATGGTTTTGCTTTCTTATATATGGATGCTAAGCGTCAAGAGTGGTCACTTTCGGCAGTTGAGATTGATAACCCGAAGCAAGCTATTGGCCATACTCTACAGCAATATTATGATAGTATAAGTAATCCTGAGGTAATTTCAACATGTCTTCGTGCTTGATATCGATTCAAAAGATTTTGTATCGTAGCCTAGAGTGTATTTGTGCTAAGTTACTTTTTTCAGTGCTTATTCATTGTTCACAATTCATGGTACATTACATATATTAGTAATCTCAGGATAGTGCTCAGGTCAACAAAGAAACTAAGATCACTGACTCATTTCTAAATTATTAGGTAGTGAGATCCTGATGTCACTATTATGTGGGTAGTGAGGACAAATAGATTAACGCAAATCTAAAGATGCATAACTTCTTGACCAAATACATTTTTATGCAGCAAGTCACCACTTGATTGTTATTACTTTACAGATTTTTAGTATAATGTATAATGATGAATTCCCATATCCCAACAATGACACTTCGTCAGGAACTTCGGGACATACTAAAGGTATGTAACTGTAAAACTGTGAAATAAGTTTTGATTTTCATTGAACAAAGGACCTTCATTACTCTTCTTGATACTCAATAATATTGCAAATTGATATAGTCGATTGTTCAACAGTTTTTTTTAATGTATTGTTATTCTTTTCAGTTCATTCAGAAAATTTTCCAGGAGTTGTGGTATTTGGAAAAAGCAATGGTTTCTGGTTGATACACAGTGTACCAAAGTTTCCCAGAAATGATACTTATGAATATCCATTCACTGGACGTCATTACGGACAAATGGGATTATGCATTTCAATGTCTTATTCACAATTACATAAAATTGGTAATTTTTACTCATTAAGGTTCTTGAAAATCCGAATGACTTTGTCTCTTTTGCAATGTCGTCAATAAATTTGTTCCCTAGTTTTCAATCAGTGAAAAAAAGAAACTTTCTTTTAATCTTGATGTTTGGATTTTTAAAATATTTAGTGAATGCTTCTTAATTCGACTTTTTTCCAGCTATTCAACTATATTATAATCATCTTTTCATTTATTCACAAAGGCTTCCAGCGCAAATGGCCGATGACATACCTGTTCTTGTGAAAGTTGGTCCAAACATCTCCAAAACAGTAGGAAATGAAAATTTGATCAAAATTTATGTGTTTTCGGGTTCTTTTTCATCAGTTGGCTTTTGAAAGCAAAACGGATTGCAATTAGTTCCCAATTTGAAGCAAAATTATTAATCTAGGTGGTATCAAAAGAATATCATCGTGCTGTTCCTTATGTTAGTCGTGTTGTGATGCATTCTTCTGCAGGCCATGAATTTGTTCACTTCGCGAAAACTCGTGCATTCAAGAGAGGCAATAACCTTCATAAATTCATTATTTCCCTATTTATCATATATGTTCTGATATCTTACTCGTAAATCTTAATTCGGGCCACATCTATTTCAACTCGACATCACATTTATTTCAGACCTTTATTTCGATCTCGTGGCACCTGCTCTTAAAAGTTCATTGAAAACAGAAACTTGGCAACATGAAACCTCAAAAAATAGGAATCTCCACTCTTGGTGTCGTAAATACAGTTCTTTTAAGGTATTGATTTAAAAAAATGTAGCCTTCCTTAGCTGTATTTATAGCGCCTTTCCATCCTTTTGTTTGTTCAAATATCTAAACAAAATTTGTACATAAGTGCTTATGTCTTTTGTGGAATCGACATTGCTGTACTTATTTGCTGGAAACCTGTACAGGTAGGAAGATTAGTACTTTATGTTCATATTAGGTTCTAGATGTGAAAAAGGTTACTCTGCCTTTTAATATCACTTTTCCAAACGCGCTTGATCATTCCAAATTTGCTGTTGCCATATTGGATCTCCACAATGTATCTATGCCTTGGATTTGCATTGGTGATATCAATAGACAGGTACGAAGATGCTTTTTCGATTGTTTGAATACTTTTTAAGAGATAAAGGGAAACTGAAATTTGATTTTTATCTTCTTTGTGTAGAATAAGTAGTCTGAGGACTTACTTATAATTAAGAACAACGACTAAAAGTTAAGTTCTTGACAATTTTCAGGAAAGCCAGTTTCTCCGTGCAGGTGGTACGATGTGTTTCGCCAGTCCTGAAGTGCATTCCGTTTATACTGCTATGATACCAGACTATTGGCCATGTGTCGGCTATGGTTCCAAAACTCCGATTTTTGTTGATAATGTTTCGCTATAACCTCTTGAAGTGTTAACTATGTTTTAAAATTGGTAAGTGGAAGTTATGATATTAAAAAACATCACATCATTTCCATTTTGTTGCTTATTTATATTTGCTGCAAGATAATTATAATTGATTGTTTGTTATCGTCTGCTATTTCTGCAATGGTTTTGAGAATAGAAAAATGGAATTTGGAAGAACAACTGTTATCTAGATCTGCAATATAAAGAAAGTACAAAGAAGTGCTTTCAGTTGCACTCATCGTTGCTCTCTTTTGCCTTGCATGGAAAAATTAATATATCAAGGTGCTAGAATTTTCAGAAAATTAGTGGAGTTTGTTGTTGTTGGTGATTTAATGCAAGTTAGATGCAGACAACCATTACTGCTTGAAGAAACGAATGTTTTGAATTGTCTACTCAGATATTTTTGTTCAGCCATTGATATAGTTTGCATTCTATCCTTTGCATTGCAAGAGTTGTGTGCTTCCATGAAAATAATTTTTGTTAACCATCATTTCTCTTTTTCAAGATTTGTTTCGGAGAAAAAAACTGAATTAAGACATGAAATTTATTGCATTTCAACAACATATCCTTTAAAATGAAATAACGAACAATGTTTGATTATGGTTGCAAGATAAAATGTACTTTGGAGACGATTCGGAAGTTCCTATACTTCAGTAAATTGTTTCTTCTCTTTTAAAGTTTTGAATATTCCAAAAAGTTACGAAGAATGAGCTCTCTTCTTTGAATGGAAAACCACTTTTCAAAAGCGATGCTCTCTAGAGTATTAAATTTCCTTATATGAAGGAGTCGGTTCTACTGGAACTAAAATTATGTGGACATTGAAAAAGATACTAATATGAAATGTTTTTCCAATTGAAATTTTGATGAAACTTGAATTATTTTCTACCCTTGTCGAGCGTTTTTATTAATAACACTACAGTTTAAGCTTCAAATATGAAATTCTTATTCAGTACTAAAACTAAAGAGTTCTTCCTACTCCGGAACTACAGGGATAGGGCAGGTCAAGTGGCAGCAGAGAATCCCTCAGCAGACAAAATAATGTATTGTACTGCACCGCCGCTTATTTGTAGAAGCAAAGTACTTAGAAATGTACCCTTTGTTTAAAAACCTTAGGATTTTGATTGCTGCAAACAAATTACTGGTGTTCCGGGTTGCTCATTTTTTTTTTTTTTTTTTTTTTTTTTTTTGGAGGACTGTTAGAACATCAATCTGAGCTTAATTAGTGACTGACTTCAGTGGAGGGGTGGTTAGATGTATCACTGGCTTTGTGTTTGGTTATTAGTCCGCTAAACAAGCACTATTTACACTGTTCTTTTCCGGTCTCATCGTTGCTTCTTTTTTCCGTTCTTCAAGAATTAGTATCTTGGAATTTCACTGGACGGTGATATGTATGTGAATATCTATTTTTGTGTGGAATCTCAGTTACTTTGCATGATTTATTTCCATCGGATTAAGCGAATTAGCGCGTGCTTCAGACCATTACATCTTCCAGAGTCGACAAAATGTTCTCCATCCTTTCTTGTCACCCATTTTCGTTGGGTAAGATGAAACAGATAAATTTCACCCACATACTTCTACGACTGCATGTTTTTGGCGCAAGTATAACATATTTATGCTAGGAGTGCCTCCAAAAGTATGTGGATTTTGGTGTAATTTGTAGGGATAACACTATTGATTGTTTTATCTCATAAAAAATTGTCTCTATGGATATTTCACAACGGATAAAGCAATTGTATTTGTGAGAGAGAGAGAGAGATATTTATGGCGGTGTCTGTTGCTAATGAAAAGAGTTTGAAGTTGTACCTAATGAAGGAATAAGTGAATGAAGGAATAAGTGGCGTGCAGAGTGGCAGGAGCTATTGTACTGATGCACCACAATTCTTGAATTGAAATCGAGTAGAAGTGATTCAATCCGTTGGTCTCATACCAAATTATATTTCTTCTTACCATGAATGTTTGCTACATCTATTCCATGTTTTTGTAACAGATATGTCTGAAGCTTTCTAAGAAAGACTGTCATCAGTTGAAATAGCGTGGGTCTTCCATTTCATTTCGTTTGTTCATTTCAATATTCTAAGAGGTTGTAAGGATTTCTTGAAATAAGTTGTTCAAAAAAAAAGAAGTGGATGATTATAATTTGTGTAATTTTAACGCTTCAGACATTTCATTGTTAATTGTATAATGATGAAAATGCTGAATAATTACATACAAAATTCGGTGAGCACTTTTTGTCGAGACAAATTACATTAAAGATAATTATCTTTGGATTGATTCGGGAAATTTTATAAATTAGGTGGAGTATATTTAAATTGGTGACACCAAACTTAAATCTAAAGTTCTTTCTTCATGATCCATTTTTACAGAAAAAGCTGATGAAGGGTATTGCTAAACTGAAAAAGCTTTTAACCATCATTTCCTATATTCAAGAATGCGTCAGCATCACTACAGTACCCTTATTTGATTATTATAAACTTTCTCTGCTTATTCATTAGCGCTTTCTTGATATTTGCGCCTACAACAGGATACTTCACAACACTTTTTATAGTAGGTATCCATTGCCTAAGACCTTTGGGAGAAAAGGTTCATATTAATAATATGGTATTGATAACGTTATCACAGCTTTACATAGAACTTGATTACTAGTAACTGAGTTAATACTGATATTTAATTTACTGTCCTTAATACAGTCCACATAGATATAAGAACAAAAGATAACTATCGAGTACGATTTTTCACACATTTAAATTCAATACGCTACATCGTTTTATTTAATTTAAACTGCTTGATGTATGTCTCACGGCAAGACAAATGCACTTGTAAGTTTTGAACTATTTGAAAAATGAGATTTATTGGAAAGATCAATTACATACCTTTGGTTAGGGATATTTGAAGCACAACGTCCTATTCCGCTTAATCATCGATCATTCATTCTTTCCAACAGTGCTGTTTGAGCTGTTATTGTTAGGTGCAGTTTTCCAATATTCGCTTTTTTTTATAAAAGGCTACTAAGATGATATTTTTTCCCTTTTTTCCAGTTGATAAAATATAGCCTTATCGGATTATTATTATTTTTTTTTGAAAATGTTAGATGACTATGGCTCATTCAATAGATCGTTTTATTCCATTAAACAATTATAATTGCAGTGATTCCAAACAAAAGTTTTTTCACTTTTGAATGCATGAAAGGAATTGTGCTTCATTAATTTCTATAAATGATTAGCAAGCTTATTTGTCTTCAATAAGTATTTGCTTAATAACAGAGAAGAAATAACATCTTAAAGATGTATTTTTTGGATATTAGTTCATGTGAAGTTCAATCTGTAATTCACAACTGCACGACACAGCTTCTTCTAACAAAACTTATTATTTTGTCATCGTTTCTTTTTCGTTTATTTTATCACTGATATGAAGGCATTGTTCAATCAAATTTTCACCTTATAGAGCAAGTGCACTAATACAAAGAAAATACTAAAATGTTCTCTTTTAGCCATGTATTTCTCTATTTGATAAGATTTCATCGTTGAAGTCGGAGATCTGTAAATGAAACGACCTCAACAGTTCCTACTTTAGCGTTCTTTTAGAGTGTCACTATCACTTATGCCATTTACTGTAAACTAAAAAGAATGTGCAACATGAATCATAGATCAGTAATTAAAATCAATTTTTTCAATCACTTTTTTTTTGTTTTATTACCTCATGTTTTGACTTAGTAAAACAAAAAAAAAGGAGAGAAAACTCTTTTTCAGAACAATAAAAACAAATTCATTAAACATGAAGTAAATCCAGCTTATTTTAATAAATTCATTAAATTGATAAGTTATTATGTCCCGAATTCGATGAAATAAATACACATCTTTCTGAGCCTGCAGTATAATACTATTTCTCGTTTTGTGAGATTAATTCCGCATAATTCCTAAAGTTCATTTCCACAAATGAAAGGTGCAGATAGTAAATCCAAAATGTGTACGGCTTATACTTCTTATTTGAAAAATCAGTTGAGGTCCCCCATGCATAGTCCCATATCACATGCTTAATTAAAATTATGGAGAAATCCAATAAATGTCACCTTTCTATATTCTTGGAATGTAAGAGTGTCGTAAGGCAAATGGAAGTAAGCGATGAGGTCATTTCTCTCCTTTTATTTCAGTTTTTTTCATCTTTCTTTTTTATTCCTATATAGAATGGTTTAATAGCACTTACTTTCTTCAATTCCATAAACATGCAAATGTGCCAATTAGTGTATCGAATCATAAGAAAGTAGCTGCTAAGTATCGGCAGAAATATTATTCAATAAGCTCAATTGCACTATGCTTAACAACCTGTCAGCTCTTCTTTCTCTCATTATTCATTTCCCTCATATCCGTTGTTATTTGTTTATGTACAGTTAGGTGTATCTTACTGAGCTCATCAAAAGTAATTGCGCCTATTGTCAAACTGTTTTACTTCAATCAATCTTGAACAAAACTAACATTACATCATTGATGGTTTAATCATTATGTAACCCTTCTTCTGAGCAAGCATGCAGTTGCATTCTGCATGCTCCACCTGACATCATTGAAAGAAATATCGCATACTTCATAGATACTTCAAGCCTGGAAATGAAGATTAACTGTTTCTTTCTATTTTTATATTAATTTTTTTTTTTTTAATTGATTCTCGAAAAATTTTCTTTTGTCAGACTTTCGTAAAATAGAAAATCTTTTTAAGTTTCTTTTTAAATTCAGTTGAAACGCAATTTGCACAATATATTTGCTTCTTATAAAATAGTCTAAATGAAAAAGAAAAAAAAACACAATGAATAATGAATAGTAAAACTGCGAAATTAAGAAAAGAGAATAATCAGTGAGAATTTAACTGATATTATTTGTAAGAACCATCATAGGTTGGTATTAATGGAAAATGTGGAGAGTAAAGACTAAGGGAATGTTAACTAAAGGTTGATTTACTCGAGTTCATCGTTCATCCTTCTTTAAAAAATTCATCATTTCCATTTTGTTAATAAGCATTTCTCATTCCGTAATTGCTTTCGCATGCATTTATAAATTTGTTCTCAACTATTCCAAGTCCTTTTTTTCAACATCGATGAATTGAGTCCTTACAAATATTTCCTTTTTACCACAAACTTCATCATTCCAGAGATTCTAATTAAAATCTCTTGCTAGAATGAATGTTTATGCATTTCAAAAGCTACTTAAGAATTGAGAGCATTATGCAAATATTAGAAACTAAAGAAATCTAATCTGTTCGGGCTAAGCTCGATCTGATTCCTGGCAATTCAAGAACGTAGAGGTAGATATTCTTGGAAAGATGTGCTTGGTAGCTACTGCTATCCGAGAATTGGCATTCTGATTATATCTCCTAAACATTCTCTTCTACAAGAGTTGCAGCTTGGGATTTTATTATTTCATTAAATTATAAATCCGCAGGCAAATGCCTTTACAAATCACGTCTTTGCAAAAAAAAAAGGGAAGAAAAAGAAAGAAATTGTGGATTTATCTGGTTTATGCCTCCTAACTTCCTGAACCTATCATCCTATCACTCCGTTAAACAATGGCAATGGTTGGTTACCCATTTATGTGTATTTCGGAATAACGTTGAACATTAAATCGGCCGAAAATGTCGCAGTTTGTTCCTTACAAACTGTTAACCACATTTGACTGAAATTTCTGCAACAAAAAAGCTATATGGCGGACTACTGATCGCGGTGTTTCCGCCGGACGAAGACTTTCAGTTACTCTTTTATCGATGACATACTGAACTGGAACGGAGTATATGAAAAGTGAAAAGTTGTAACAGTAATCAGAACAATAATACTTTGCAGAAGTAATATTTGCAGAAATTAGTATTTTCAAAAGGATTTTTACATGCTAAAACTTCGATTTTTCTGCATTTTTTCGTGTATTTTTATTTGTCTCTGTTAACCAAAACTTTTTCTCCATTTTTTTCTTTCACTTTTTTTTGTTTTTTGTATTTTTTTTTCTGCTTGCGTTTCAGAAGTTTTCATTTAGATTGCTGTGAATTGCTAATGACTTTTATAATGAATTATTATATTTCAGATATGTTTTGCTGCTTAAAAAATTGTTCAATATAATATTGCATCACGAAGTGGTCATCGGCATGCCCAGAAGTTAAGAATTGCTGTTTTTATATAATCCATCTTGTTGCGATCCCTTAAAAAGATTGCTGTCGTAATGTAGTTCGAATCATTTTAAGTTTGTTAATTACTTAGTAATGTTATAAAAACTTACTGAAAAATTTGCATTGGTCAGACAGATAAACAGGTATCATACCATGGAAAAATATCAGAAAAGCTTCTAAAGGAACTCTTTTCTCTTACTACTTGCGCCAGCTAATATAATTTTATTACATATTTGAAAGCTTTTTACAAGTTACTGAGAAGTATACTTTTTTCCGAAACTTATTTAAAATGTATTACAAATTCATTTCAATTCGAGACTGTTGCAGTTTAATTTACAGTATTAAGCAAAACGATGAAGTATCACTGTCAAGTTATGCGCTGAATGGAATGTATCCAAATAATGAAAATTTCACTGGTACCAATAAACAAGTAACGAAAATCGCTGAAGACCGTAGGATGCCAGCTTACAAAGCTGCTATGCTAGGAGTTTGTTGCCTTTTTCACTACAATCGCGAAGCTTGATATTTTAATGGCTTTTAGTCGTGTTTATGTTACAAGAATTGGAATTTGACAAATGATTAGTAGTTATATTACTATTAATCTATTTTAGGTTTGCCAGTTACAACTCAAAATCTGTTCAAAATTAATTGAACTAGCTTCGCCGTCCTGTCCAACATTATTTAGTCTTACAACATTCAAACCTTCCACACTGAAAGAGCTCGCTGGACAATCCATTCTACTTCATCCTTGTGGTTTAGTTGGAATTTTTTGCCGTAATTCTGAGATTAATGGTGACATTAGTATTATTGATAATGATAATGACGGATTACGCTATCGCCAAATGCTTCCCAATGAATTGGTCAAATTTTTGCAAAATGGAGCCGCGGATTATGATTAAAATCACATTTTCGATGAAATAAAGTTTGATGACTCTCAACAAAAAACAGAAATTTCTCTTTGACTCCCTACGATTCCCATTTAAAAAAAATATATATTTTACAGCATTAAAGAATTTATTAAACAATAAACTACCTTACTTCCTTTATTTATTTGCAAGTACTGAAACGAGGTAATACGCTCAAAAAGAAAAAACAATGTTTTAAAACAGGAAATAGCTCGTTTGATCTTAAAAATTTGATCTTGAAATTGATGAATATAAATTTATTTTTAATTTGCTCGAAAACATAGGATTAGGCTTGTTTATTCTGTACGTTATAATCGTATGAAGGAATGAATAATTCATATCATTTTGTATCACTGCTTTTATTCAAGTTCTATTTTTCCCAGTTATTCATTTATGATCGTTGTCTCGAGTGCTGGCTCTTTTGACCCTTACTTAGCTGGATGTATAGTCATGAGCTCATTTTGATTTTCAAGCTTCATTTTCATCATTATTGGCCTTGTGATTTCCATTTCGAAGGCTGTCCACTACTTTCTCCGAATATTTTTTGAAAAATGGCGTGTTAGCTGTACTGTATCTTCTGAATTATCATTTCTGTTTTGTAATTCTTGCTTGCCTTATCAAATTTATTATTGTGTGTCCTGTTTTGCATAATGTGTGCCCTACTTGAATTACAGTTTCCGCATATTAATTGAAAAGCGTGAAATAGTAACTATGTGGAAGACTATGCAGCACTTCAAAGAATAAAGTTGAATTATTATGTCCCAATTCTATTTATATGGAATTTATAGATGCAATATTTAATATCTTCAGCAGGTGCATTCCTATCCTATTAAGTTTTATGAATTAAAATTTCTATACAGAATTTCCTTATCACTTTGCCTTAAAATCAACGATTTGCAAACGGAAGGTCTGAAAGATACAGGATTTCTTGTTTCGGAAGAACACCATGTTTGTAAGAACACCAGTTCGACAGAAACATTCGGTTTGTACGATTGAAGATTTTTAATGTTTGCTTTGAGGCCATTAATTTGTTAACTTTGAAACTGAATGCCAGAAATTATGTGGCTATTCTTATTTCAGTAAAAGGTTAAAATGGCTTTAGAATCTCAAACAGATCGATTTTTCATTCTGCACTTTTAACTGAACTTATGTCATATCATGGAAAGATTCAAAAAAAAGAAAAAACTTGAGAATGGTCATTTATTTCATCAAAACTATGCAATTCTTAACGATCAGATATGGTGGCAGAGATCTTCAGGAGGTTCTTTTAGCCACGTCCTCCTTCAGTAACCTATGCGTCGTCGATGCATAAATAAGGTAATAAAATGGTCACTAATGAGATACATTGTATATGTCTCTGATCTGCATTGTGAGTAGTGTGGGATGTGAAATCTTCGTTCAATATAATTTCTGATGAATCATCTTATTTGTTACAATATTATTTTCAAAACTATAAGTATGATAAAGTTATGTGTGACTTTAAGAGTTAATAGTGACAACACTCACAATACTTCGTCACGACCATAATTTAACGTCACCTTTGAAAATGTAGGCAATCCCAAAACATTATTCCCGACGATGTTTAGTGGATATCAACAATGAATATATATAATGAGATCGTATAGTCATCCCTATCCCGTAAAGGAAAAGTTGCATTTACATTCTTTTCTATACTTATTTTTACTTATTTTCGAAATCTAAGATGCTACATTTGAATATCATATGTAAATGATAGGGTTCGAATTTTTCAGAAACTGGAAGTTTTAATTATATAGGATACCTTTGGTCAACAAATGTATATGGCAAAATTTCGCTTTGCTTAATATGGTAAAATTTCTCGTTAAATTATGGCAAGTTTTGAGTAAAAAGTACGAGTCTGGAGTAGCGTGATGTACTAACCTCTTTAAATTGATTAGGTAACTTGGGGGATTGAATAACGTAGTGGTATACCGAAATTAAATGTGCGACAACGTGAACTTATTTCACTTCAGCTAGCATATTAGCGTTTTAAGCCAGATGTTATGCAAATCGCTTCTCCTCATCAAGTGTTTTACAATAGCTTTTTCAAGTAAATCTTTGCTTTCCTTTTTTATAAAACAGTTGAACATCAAACTTTGTTTTTCCTTTTTGCGTGATTTAATGAATGATAAGACACATGTGAGCGATTGGTGCTCCAAAAATGCTTGGAGCCCTCCAAACAGGTTTTCATTTCTCTTCAGTCTCTAAAATTCATCACCAACGAAAATAATAATAATAAATAAAAAAATAATTTTGTACTCAGCATGAAAATCCCGATTCGCTTCGGTAATGTGACTCTGAATATAGATCTGATGGTCGGAAAGAGATAATCATTCGCCAAGGAATTGATATCGGAGGATATGGTGGCATCTCTGGACGTATTTTTCTGTTAGATTTATTCAGCTCTTATACTTTAATTTATTTTTTTTACATTTTCTGCAAAGCTACCAAAATTAAATGAGAAACCTGACGAGATTTTGCTGAAGTTGTAATGAATATGCCAAATTCTGAATAAGTGTGCTAATTTCTTTTTTTTTGCACTTCATCGAAGCACATAACCTAACTTCCGTACTTTGCAGTTATGTCGCTAAAGAAATTTTTGCAGTATCATCTGAAAATCTTACATAGTCATATTAGAATACTGAATGAAAAGTAAGAAATCTTTCAGTAGATGAAAAGATTAGGAGAAATTATCTAGCCTAACCTTATCAATTGTTATTAAGTGAACGAAATGGAACTTTTGAAACATGCAATGCCGGCGCACTGCTTCTCAATAGTAAATTGTATGGTAATAATGAAACACTAACTTATACTAAGCAAGGGAATGAAATGAACACGATTATTTCGGGAATAAAACATTCCACCTAAGTGTACTTCGCATTTAAAGCTCACTTAAAATTTGCTGTCGATTTTGAAGGTGGTGTTCGACATTAATTCTTATGTATCATGCTTTAATAATATTAATAATGAACAAATTTAATCCTTTGGCATCAAGACAAAATCACTTTTAGGGCGGGCCAGGAAAAGAAGGATGGGTATTTGGTCAATTTCTGGATCACATAGCTCACGAATTGCTTACTGGGTTGGAAAAAATAAGCAAAACACCTGAAAAAGCAAAACTGATCCGTCGAAGACGAAGACACATTCCGCAACGTTCCGTTTGATTTTCATCTTTGTTTAACCCTTAAAACGTTCGTTCATTAGAACACTGCTGTTACTGTCATTGTGAATTTACAATGAATGTGAACTGGAAACTAATGAAAACCCATTTACTACCGTATGCTTCTTGCAGTATTGTGACAGTGAATGTTAATTATGGGAAAGATGTCACAGGGGACACTGATATTCTTAATCCTAGATCCATCACCACTTTTCGGCACCAAATCTTTATCCCTCTATACCACCTACTACAGATGGACTAATTTTCATAACCTGCATCATCATTTCCATTCCTCGGTCGGGTACGCCTTTATTTGCATTTTAATATAAACGTAAGAAATACCTAGCATTAGATACCATTATCAACAGTTATGAAGTCCGTATAGACGGATTTTGCAAACATATAATCTTCTTGAATCTGTTAAAAGCGGATGTGGTATCTAACAAACAGAACTTATTCAAATGGAAGTAGTCTGAGATGTTGAGTCTGAAATACTAGCAACCTGAATAACACGAAGAAAACATAAAAAAGAAAATATTCCTTGAATTACTTCTTGAATGAGTAGATGTCCAGACAATGTCTATTAATTGAGCAGAAAGGTTGCGTACTAAGCGTAAAAGAAAAGTATATACCAAATACATAGAGTGTTGTTCGAAACTTGGATCCAAAATAATGGAAGATCGATAAAATAGCATCAAATTTATCTTCAGATGTTTTATGTTTTTCCAAAAAAATTTCTGAAACCTCAAGAGTTTTGTATCACAAAAGTTTGAGGAAGGATAATATTTCGACAACAAAGCTATGCAAATGGGGAATAAAGTTAAGGTTATGCGTGGTGGTCCCTCAATTTTCCAACAAAAAAAGATTTGAATGAGTTGAGGTGAAAGAAGGGTCGTTGCCCCTTTATTACACCACATCTTCGTCCGTTCCATTCTTACTCTCTTCCCGTGTGTACATAATTTGCAGGAATGTTTTACAATTCAGATCGCTGCTGTCATCGTCATTGCCGTTCCATTGAGAATGCTCAATAACAAGGCAAGGAAGGATTTCCGCCTACTTCCATTACATCACTACAGAGCACGAAACCACTTCTGCTTACCGATCTTCTGCGAGATAAAGCATTCTTCTTCTTGCAATGCCACAAAAGGAAATCTTATCGATATGGCAATGAATTTCGAGCAGCAAGTGTAAAATGACATGGCAATCTCATGAAAATTTTCTAGATAATCCACAGGAATGCTTACAGATGACTGACTGACAGGAATGAGATTCCACAATTTCCTGTCCACTAAATATGATTTTCAGAAAAAAGAAACGAAACCAGATTTTTCCCGTATCATCGAAATTCACAGCAAGAAAAAATCTGGAAACACTGCACTGACAAATATTTACTATAACAAAGTGCCACCAAATGTGAGGACCTTGGGATCACATGGAAAATGAAAAATAAATCATCGATTCCATACATCGGGTAACCGTTATGTCAAAACGTGAAAATTACCGAATGAAAACATTTCAACAAATGATACGGTCCCTCAAATCAGTATGGCTATAGCAAATAGCACATGTGACCGGAAATCGTAGACTGGAATTTGGAGCATACGCCCTGTTCGCCTGAGAGCGATGCGAGGTTATGTGAAAGCAGCAAGCATACAAACAAGTGACGTTGGAGAGCAGCTGGCGGGCTATGTACCTACCCCCAGGTACTGTTTTGATAGGGTGCTTAACGATTGTGACAGAACACGTCTGAGCAAGACTGAAGAGAAGATTAAGGCTAGACCGGGAAGATATAGAAAGTAGTAAAGTGCAGCTTCCCCAACAAAAAATAATGACACAAAAATTCAAATTTGTTTCAATAATGCTACTACTACAACAAACGCACCTGTACATTTCTCCTTTCTTATCCCACTCCAAATGTACACTTATCCAATATACGGAGTACTGCCCTGCTGGATTTCCACTTTCATTAATTAAACTAACCAAATGTAAATATTACAACCTAGGACAGTTGTTACTCCCGTCATAATATTCTTCGAAAGTTTTGCTCAATAATATTTCGCTCTACAACTACCAGAAATTTAGGTGTTGTTAAGAAGAGATACGTAGAAAAAAACGGGAAATGGTTTAAACTCTCTCCTCGATTCCCGCATAGTTCTAATCGATCCGAAGGGTTCTCATCCACATACACCTTCCCTGTTAAGCATTTAAAGGTAGGAAGAAACAAGGGAACCACATAGAGGATTGTCGACCAGAATCAGAGATACTTTTAAAATATGAAGTGAAAGGCATTGCCGGATAAGCACTAAGAAGGACCTATTCTGCAGTAAGCTCAGAATAACCGCTTTATTTGTGGAGTACTATGAAGTATTAATAACAAAAGACTCCAATTGAAAACGGCCAGTTCAGAGGGAAAAATGGGCATCTAGTGGTCACCGGAAGGTATCATCCGAGATATTTCAACAACATACTGATAAGGAAACACGAGAACACGTCGCGTTTATTTGGTGTTCGGAATGCTATTGTGAGAATACTCTGACCAGCATCCTCTAAATCAACGTGATATACGCCAGTCGCGCATGGCATTGCGTCTGTCATTTTCTTTGTACTTCAAAAATCGATAATTATACCTTATTACTAGAACTTTGACGAATATATAATTTACACAGAAGCTCCCCTCCCACACACCTGTATAATCAGTTAGGAATGCTGACAACCAGATGAGATTTGTTGAGATCTTCATAAACTGACCGTCATCTCCTGAAACATTTGTAGGAACCACTTTACTGTTGACCATTCTGAGAAGGCATAGTGAATTTACAATACAAACTATGCCTCTCTTACATCGTCGTTCACTTACACTAAACGAGTTCTTTTCCGTTGCACTTTTATTTTTATCTCAGATTTCCTCCCCAATTTCAAGAATTCACTTGTGTAGAGAGGAAAATTAACTTAGATTAAGACCTCAGTGACCGTCGGATTTATCCTCCAAACTCCTCTAGTCCCTTTGGCCCGAAGATAAAACTTTTAGGTATTTCAGATGTTAAAAATAACTACAGGATAGAGCATAAAGAACTGGCAGGCAGAGCACGGGAAGATAGAAACACACACACACACCAATATCCGAGTACTCTTTATGGGAAGAAGCAGAGAAGCAGACAGACAGGGGATACGGGATGAAGGGATGTTTGACAGGATCGATCGATTATATGCTGGAGATGACTAACTTCAATATGCGAGTATAAAAAACCAGCAGGCAGAGACACGTGCGTGCACACACGTACACTTACGTGCAGACACACACACACACACACGTGCACCTCATAGATTCACAGATGTCGGCATACACAGTGGGATGGTTGGTTCATTTCAAATAGGTAGTGCATTGTTTGAATTTATGAGACGGTCCCTGCCCAAAAACATAATGTGCAGGGAAATATATTGATTAGGTGAGTGAATGGCAGTGCGGACGTATGTGTCATTCAGGATTGCGCATCCTTAATTATTGTTGTTGTTTGACGTATTTCTCACGTCAGATTTACTTATAGTATGCCGGTTGGATAGAACATGTGTGTCTGTTTAAAGTACGTCATTTTCTGGTTATGCTTCTCGATTATAATTAGCGCCTACTCTACGAGCATCAGATATTAAATCTTTATGTTTATTAGCCAGACTGGTCACTTTAGCAAACAGGTTTAGTAATGATCTAGCCTGGAAAGTCATTATTAAGAATTATTACGATGTTAGGACGACCAATGACTTGCGTAAGGAATGTATGTAAATTACTCCCTCGGAAAGTTTTTGAAGAAATATCTCGAAAATAGAATGGAATAAGGTTAACTTGTTACTAGTAGTTCTTTGTACTACACTTATTTGTGGTCGAAGTTTTTTTTGGGCTGGTGACAGAGGGTAAATGTGGATTAGCTTGGAGTCTTTCCTTAGTAGCTCAGATATGCCAAGCAGTTTGTGTCCTATATGAAGCTGGAAAGTAGGTATACGAATGGATCTGCATAAAGCTCAAGTCAGTTCTCTCTAATCTCTGAACTCATTAAGAAAGTATCAGCACGTGACCCGATAATGAGCACAATGTTCTCTCCCCGTTCCCATGAAAAGTACAAAAGGCTCTCTCGCCCCGAAATTCGAACGCTTCCTCTTCATCTCCCTCACTTCTGAGTCTTCAGACTCTTCATCATTCACGTCTCAAAAGCACTTGGCCAGCCATCAATTTTGCAGATGGTACGGTCCCCGTTTCTTTAGTTTTTCGTAGTAGTGCCATCCTTAGAGATTTTTCTATACGGTCCCCACAGTTGTATTCTTTTCCCTCTGTTTCTCTCTCCAACACTCTCTGTTGTCCCCTTATGCAGTTTGCTGGTTGATTAGCAGCTGGACATGTCAGGCAGGCAGGGGAAATATTCTTGCTGGTGCGCATGACAGCTATTTGTGCGCCACTTTCCTAATAAATTTTCCAATGAATTTCATGCACGTACATTTTGCACGAATTTAGTGGTAAGTAAGGGACAGAAGTGGGTGACTCATTCCTTGAAGCAATGAAATGGAAAAGCTGCATCAATGCAACATTTCCAAAGAGGAATGAACTGAGGTCCGACGTGATGTGATTGTGTGCAGCGGGAATTGTACATATAAATAAATGGGTGCACATATAGTCAGAAGGTTACGTGCACGGATAAGACGAGTGGAGATGGGGACAAAGCGTATGCAGTTTGTGGAGAATGAATAAAGTAGCTTGGGAAAATGTGAATGAAACATTTTAGAGGTAAATAGTAGCGTAGTGCATCGTCTTGCACGCCTCCTTCCGCGTGCTTTACTTACCCGTAAAGAGTGCAGGGGTGCTACAACGCAAATATGGATGCAACGGTAGTATGCACAGTGCGGAACGTCCGATTACTGTGTTGTGCGATCATTCGATGGTGATAAAGCCAGCGGTTATGGTTAATTAATTATGTGCTGGTGAGATGTTGCACGGGTTGCGAAGGAGTCAGTCTGAAA